GAAGGGCTCCTGCTACTAAAAAACTTGAGGAGGCTACCACTAAAGATCTCCCTTCACTTGCCACAATATTATTTCTGGAGCTCAGCCACATTAACCAAAAATAATGCACCCATTGGAGGGAATAAAGGCAAAATGCTATCTTGCTAGAGGAAAAAAGGCTGCAAGAAGTATCCCACAGGGCAGTCTCTTATCCAAACCAGAAGACTTGCCAAGAACCCATCTCATTTCACTATCTTGGTGCCAGAGACAAAGCTGAGACTAAAGTACATGGAAAACCAGTCGCCCAGAGACTACCTTAAAAGTCTTCAAGGCCCATGCCCTTGGACAGCCCTGTTGTATCCAAGACACATCCATCTTCACAGCTTTCCAAATATGTATTTAGCATAAAAATAAGATATAACAAGATCCTGCAACACCTCATTAACCAGAGTGGATGTTTAGACCCAAAGGTACCTCCATGGTGAGAGGCAAGTGGCTCATGTAGAGATGGGGTAAGAGCCCCAGAAGAGAAGGGCCTCTTGCTGCAGCTTGCTCCTCAGCTCCAGCAACACATTCCCATACCCACTATGGTCATGCTGAGAGCCCTCCAAACAGCAGACAGGTCACCTCAGAGAAAATATATTTTTTTTAAAAAAAAGGGGGGACTTGGCTCCTTTTAAGCAAGTTGTCAAGAAATAATCCCTATCAGAAGCCTTCTTGCACTTCTAAAGCTCTTTCTAACCCACCACATATTTCAGCCAAGAGCCATGCCAGAGTTGCTGGTACAAAAAAGTAAGACCAGATGGTGCTGAGAAGCCCAATTACTCTCAGGCTCCCAAGGAAAGCAGCTATAGAGCATTAACAGGTGATTCAGTTTGGGATACACTTGAGTGTAATGACTCTGAGTCAACCCCCAAACTTGCCATGGGGGAAACCTGAGAGCAACTGGGTAGACCGCTAGTTAATCCTCAGTAATTGCTTGCAGGGGATCATATAGCTACGCCCAGGACATTGCTCACAGGCCGTGTGGACCCACCTAGCAAATATAAATTTTTTACCAGTCCCATCCTGTGGAAAAACAAAAGCAGAACAATCTCACCCAACCTCTCCCCCAGCACTAACATTTGTCAATGCTTTGCCCAATTCATATATGGGAACCACGAGAGAGGCAGTGGAAGTAGATAGGGTTTCCTAGAATAAGAAGTCCTCAAAACCTCTGAGCAGCAAGCTGGGGAGGTAACCCATGGCTAGCACATTTTCCTCCTCATGTCCTATGCCTCCTGACGACTAGCAGTTTGCCTTCACAGCTGGCCCAAGCCCCTCAGCAGTATGAATACATCAGCTTCACCTGGTCGTTCTACAGTCCTAACAAAATTGCAGGTATTATTTTTCTTAAGTCTACTCCATAATCCCTTAATGCCATAAAATACCACTGAATCAGAGCTCAGTAGGATTTCAGAAAGGAACAGAACTTTAAAGAGATAATGAGAACTCCACATTTATATTGAATAAGGTCAGAGAATGAGAACAGGGAAGAGAAAAATATACTAAATGGGCAGATTATTTCATAGTTTTCCTTAAGAAGATTTCTTCAATCTTCCTCTGAAGCATCTAGGGCTGATCAGCATCCACTGTCAGAGACTGAGTAGGGATGAGTTGGGCATCCAGGCTCACCCCACACAACAATCTTTCATCTTCCTGGTACGTGTAGGGGAGGATCCCCATTAAACCACATATCACAAAATAAGATTAGAGGTACACAAAACTGATCATCTAAGTGGAAAATGTTATCAGCCCCCTAGGATTCATTCAATCTGCATGGAAGTATGTTCCAATTTCAATAAAAGGAATAATAGGCCTTCTTTTTCCTCTCTCCCCAATTCAGTCATCTTCCTTCACAAGCAAACAGAAGATACTGTGTGAGCTGATTAACAATAAAACTCACAGTTGATCAGCTTTCTCCTTCACCTTCATCCTTCTTTCAGGAAAGCACATAAGAAGAGCGTATCTGCAGCCTATTCTTCAGGTATCTATGCAGAAGTTCTGCACACCATGGGCAGCACTTTGAGTACATTTAACCTGAATGTATTAATCGTTTTAAAACTGCCTCTGCTTTTAAGAGGAGGAAAAACAAAGTCTCTCAAATAAACTGTGCTTTGTAACAAAAATGATGACAACGACAACTCAAAACACTGAAGGGATACACTACTGTTACCCCCAAATCAAGGCAAGGAACGTACCTTGCCCCGGGAAAGGCGTTACGTTCTCTTAAGGGCCTCCCCCTGCCCAACATCCCCTTGGACGGTTTTCTTCAGCAAACCTTGCCTGTCTCCTTTATATCCCCTCTGGACATGGTCTCAGAAACCCACCAGCTGGGACTCCTGATGCCTCCTCATCACCAACATCTGCCTGCAGCATCTCTCTGAGCTGGGACATCTGCTCCTCTGCATCCTCACAACTTCCAACCACAAGGAGCAGGGAGCCCAAACACAGAAGGATTACAAGATGTGCCCAACTCGCACTAACTAACTAAACTAAACTTGCCCCTAAACATCTGGTGCTCTCCTTTGCTTTGGCCATGGCCACAAAGAGGAGGAAGGGAACAGGACTGAGAGGTCCCACCTGGCATAGATCAGCCTTCAGGGCAGCAACACGCATTCAGGTTTATACATCTTACACAGAGAAAGTTAAAAGGGAAGAAAAGGAAAGCAGTACGTCAAAAGCAACCAAGCAGCAGGGCAATACCTGCCTAGGAACAGGCTGAGTCCGTTGGCGTTCCAGACATTAAAGCCTTTCCCTGAACCAAATAAGCATCACTGCTATATTTAAAATGAATACGTGCTTTGTAATACTTATCAACTAGAGGGCTTTCAACAGTTTTTCTCCACTAATGCTGCAATTTCCAAGCCATTTAGGCTAATTTCCTTTGACTTGAATATATTTTAATCAGAGACCAGGATACTTGACTTAAATGGTTTGTATTAAACCCTTCATAAAATCAGCCATAAAATTACACGAGCAAAATAGAGAATGAAACTTCAAGTCAGGCATAGAAAAAGCTGAAACTTTCCATATTCTTCAACAAAAAAATCAAGTCTATATCATAACCAAACTGCCTTCTTACAATACCAAGACAACTGATTCCTAAAAAACGCAGCAGAAAAATAAACACACTGCCGAAGTTCTTACATTTAAGTTATGCAATGGCAGTACCCCAAACTTTGTCCTCCAAAGTGTTAGCCAAGCTTCAAAATTACATATATTTAATAAATTGCTGCCCTCTCTTCCATCCTCCCATGAAATTACTTATATTTGCTCTAAAGAATAATACAATGCAACACTAAAAATGCCAGCATTAATCCTTAGCACCCCCGCCCCAAGATCAGAAAAAAAAATTAATTCTGAAACTAATTCTCACAAAGTAATGCAAGCTCTGCTAGAAGCCAGAGTTCTGAATAAAAAAAATGAAAGTAGAAAGCTCAGATGCAGGTAACTGTTATAGAAGGTCTCACTTCGAGGATTTTTCATTGTAGGGGGATTTGCATATCATATAGCCAAAGGTACAATTTGTTCTTGCAGTTCACTTTGTCCGGACAAACCAAACCAGCAAAACTGGAGGCTGGGCTTCTAGTTCCTTTGAAAACTCATGCCAATATTTTTCTTGTCAGTGGCTGGAAGACTTGGGAAATATGAGCAGCTGTTTAGAATTCCTGCAGCATGCAGAGACGGGATGGAAGAGCAGCCCTCCATGCTCTCCTTTCCTTAACAACACGCTGCAACCACGTAGCTGTGTCCTCTTGATGCCCCTTTCAGTGGTCTGCAGATCCCAAGCAACAGCTTTGTCACTGGCCTGGTGACACGGGCATTGCACATGTATCTTTCACAATCTACCTGTCTCACAGCTCACTTTATCGGAGCTTTTGCTCCAGCACTGGACAAATTGACACTTCCCTATTTCAAGGAACATTCTACTAGCCATATCTAAAATAAAGTTTCATAAAGATAAACTTACAGTACATCACTTCCCACACTCTTAGCAAAATCATCTCTGTCTATTCTTCTCCAGGGCTTAGCTTGTAAACAGGAGAGAAAAGATATGGCTGTCAGATCCACCAGGATCCCTTCAAGGGCTTTGGCACTTAGATGTCACTCTGGAGCAGTGTCACTCCTCCACAACACTCAGACTGATGGCACAGCCAGGACACTTCAGCATGGAGCTGTGGTGCTTGATCAGCCCAACCACAAGCAATGGCCTTTCTCATGGATATGGAGACCTCTCAGGAGCGGAGCTACAGAGGCGTTGGTGGCCCTGCAGCAGAAGGGACCTTACCTTCCAGGGGCATGGCTCTAGGGCACCCTAGACGTGACGTTCAGTTACACAGTAAGATCACATACTCAACCCACAACACAGACACACTGACCTGGCCCTGTTCTTCTCTCTCATCTTTAGCTGAAAAGTCTAAGTGGTCCTGCCCGCTTCCAAGTATCAACCCCTCCACATTCATTAATTCCAGTGCAAGATCACAAAATGATCCTACAAGGAGGACTCTGCTTGGAGGAGCATGAGGGGCAGCAGGAGAGACTAGAGATCCCTGGAAATCTTGCAGGGACACAAAGGACAGAGAAGAGGGGAAGGTTTCCTACTATAGAGTAGGAAACAACAAAGCCAGCAGCTCAGCGAACACCACTTTGCTGACTAGAGCAAATGTGAGCTGCTAATCACATTACCACCACCAAAAATAGCATACAGCATTAGAAGAGGGGAAAAAAAAGCAAACAGAAAAAAAGGCAAAGGAGTGGGAGGAAAGCAGGGTTTTTTCCCCCAATAAATTGACTTTTTGAATCTCAGTCTCAATTGAACTACATCGGTTGCTCATTACTGGAGATTGCCCTGTAGAGGACAAACAGGGAAGAGCAAACAGCATCAAACAGGAACACAAAAGCAATCATCACTTCTTGCTTTCAGATGATAACTGGGGTGCTGAATGTGTGAGCTTCTTTGCAGAGCAAGCAGTACTCACTTGGTTGGACGATAATCCGGGATGGAACGATCCAGTGAAATTTTCTCACTGAGGTAGGAGTTGTAGCCGTATTTCTCATGTGGTCCCTTAGCTCTTTCTTCCTCATCAGGGGACAGGGTGGCTGGAAGGCCACCTTTGCCACGTCCGCCATAGCCTTCAATGAGACCAAGCGACTTGGACAAACCTGAAGAGAAAGCAAGCCACCATCATGGTTAGAGTTCACCACTGCCATTTCAAAGTTATCAAAGAAACAAAGCTCAATCTCACAAGCCAATAAGTTTTACTCTGGTTTTCTGAAAATATGTCAAATTCTAGGTCTTTGGTCCAACGCAGGAAGGAAAACATTTCAAATTTTGGAATTCTTCATGGCTCAGGCATTTCACCCCCATTGAGCTCTGCCACCAGTATCCAACTACTAACCCATCCCTGGGATCTGTGTGTTTATTTAGTTGTTAGGAAGGTTATTTAGGTCTCCTTCTCATTCTTAGAGAGGTAATTACATACAAGGTTAGACGTCCCCAGGAGAAGGATTGGCTGAACACAGAATAAGAATAAAATACGGTTGCTTAACTGCTAAGTGAATGAATTTTTGCTCAGTATAAACAGTGAACAGCATACAAATGTTATGGATTGAAAAACAATTTCCCCTCAAAGCTTTCTTATCTTTTAACGTATACCATTCCTAGACCTTTATCAAATGGAATTATTTATTTATATCTGCATAGCAAAAGGAAATAAGCAAAGTTCAAAATGAGCTGCACAAAAGGAGCTATGTTGATGACTTGCTGGTGGCTGGAGGAAGCAAAGCTTATGCTCATTTGTTATTTATTGCACAGAATACCTGTAATTTTAACATTTTTCATTAGTAGAGACTCATACACTTCTTTGGTTCTAAAAGAAGAAATGTGATGACTTCGGTGATTTTTTAAAACCACGACACCAGAATATATTCCTCTTTGCTTGATGTCATTCTAAGTGCAGACCTGACTCTTCAATGCTGGACCTCACGGTGACTCACACCAGCATTAATGTGTACAAAGGGACAAGCAGCTTGAGGTTGATCCAAGAGCTCAATCCTACTCCCAAATTCCCTTGGGTTTCCATTGCCCTGGACAAACTACTCCATCTACCCCATTTGGGGGGTTGGACTAGATGATCTCTAGAGGTCCCTTCCAACCCTAAGCATTCTATGATCTGCTCACCTCCAAGACTTAGATTTTAATACTTTTGTTTCTTAAAAAGTAGTGTTGTGAGGTAGTAACAAATCCATCTATGAATGTAAATCAGCATGAATCACTTGAGCAGAAATTACTGCTGAGAGTTGATGGAGTCCCTCAGACTGCTCTGGGATTGATTACATTTAATCTGAGGACAAGAACTAATAGACCATACAGTGACAAGGGAATGGATTAGATACCTAGGTTGCCTTTTTCCATCTCCAGGCTCAGCAATGGCTAGAGGAAGACATCAAGAAAGGCATGAAAAGTGAAATTTCCTGGTCTGGAAAAGGCCAGTGGATCGCTCTGCTAAATTCCTAATCCTAAATGACTCAGAGGATAAGGTTCAACTTGCTTATGAAGATGCAGCTTTCAACAGAACTAAAGCAATGTTTTTAAGAATACACTTGCAAAAAGATAGCTCTCCAGAAACAGCTATTTTTGGATCCAAACTACATGTTTTCTCTTTGGGAGCAGCACACCTACAAGATGCACAGAATTCCTCAGGGTCCACCCCCTAGATCATGTCCTGGGTCTCAAACTGAGAAACTCAATTTATGATTTTAATTCCTTCTTCTTCACCCTCCCCATGAAAAGCCATTTGTAATGGCAGTTAAATTGTCTTGGTACCTAGCAGTGCCATTTCTTGACCAGCAATGCTGTAGCACAGACTTACAGTACAGTCCCCGGACACAGAACTGTGAACTTCCAAAGCTGGGTTATGGGTTTGCACTGGGAGAGGCTCCACAAGCAAGCTTAGAGCTCCCGGGTTCCTGGTGCTCAAATACCTACCCAGTCAGACGTCTAAGTTGTTAACATCAAAGCCTCTCTCATTCTGGTTAACACAGATCTACAAACAGAACCAGGTTGTTATCAACTCATTCTGAGCTTTTAACTGAGTCACCCAAGTTAGTACTTCTCCTAGAGCTCCTCCCTTGAAGTCAACAGGGAAAGACTCATCCCTTCAAGGCTAATTCATCCACCACAAGATCTGATTCAGTCTTCAGAGGTCCTTATCTCTCTCTTGACTAAGATAACTGAGCTTCCGGCTGCAGTATTTCTGCAAGTATCTGAAATTAGATGGGCACAATCTGGCACACAGCATTCAAAATACCAACACAAGCACCAGAAGGAGGTATAGCAGCACTTGCAGCACAGCAAACCCTAGTAGATCTGACCCAGTGCTAGCAGGCTAACAGGCTATATTGGAGATGGTGCGTGCTCAGTTTTCCCACCCATGCTGCTGAGATACCACCAGAGCAAATGCACAGATCCACCCTGGTGGAGATGCCCCAGCTATCCCCATAGAGAAGGCTGCATCAACTTCTAGGTCATCGCCAGATTAAACCTCATTGCCGACTGCAGAGGCACCAGTAAAATGCTGAGACATTATTTTATATTCAGCAGCTTCAACAAGCTTATAATGCCATAAACTGCTTTATCCCAAGACCATAAGCATTGCAACACACAGACATCAACATTACATTTATCTCTACTCACTAAATACATTGGCTGACATTTGCCTGCCCATGAATTTCTCACTGTTACCTTCTCCTGTGTTAGTCCTCCTCCTCCTTCTCCTCTAAACCCTGCCTCAGGAAGTACAAATAAATCCGTGTCAACTCATTTAACCAAAAACATCAATAAAGTCGATTGATTCACACACATCGGGCAGGGAACTTGCAGTGTCACCAGCATCTCTTTCAATGTCACCCTACTCGCAAAGGCAAAACCAGGCACGGGGGTGAAGCCTCCCAGGTGGGATGTGACAAGGAGGATCTCTGCAGTTATCTCCATGCTGGTTAAACATTTCCTCCTCCAGTTTTGGCTGTCAGAAAAGTTCATCAGTGCAGCTGCAGTGTCACTCTAGTTTGCATTAAAATCCATCCACGTGCACAGGATTGCAAACACTTTCCAAAGCCTCTGAAGAGCAAGATTGGATCTGGAATGGAGAAACCCAGGGAAGTGCAGACCAGGCGGTTAAAACTACACACTTAAGGTTTCTAGAGCTATACCCTCATCTTTTCTCCTATGCTACTCACGCTTCACAGCCTACATGGAAACTCCCTGTGGGTCTGAGAGGCCAAGCAATCTCTCGCATCGTTCACACCGAACTACACGGGGAAAAATGCCTTCTCATGCCTGATCCTCCTCGGGTGCAACCACCAACAGCTGCTTTCCAGCGCAGCCTTTTGCTGTGGTTTCTCCAGCCCCTTATTAAGGATGAGCTTTTCTTGCACTGTCTTGCTGCTGCGGACCCATTCCTCTACCCAGCTCCTTATTAGCCTGCACATGTAGAATATCCTCACACATTTCAAACCTCCAGCCCTTTGTCATACCCATTTGAAACAGGCCCAGAGAGCCAAAAATTACACACGCACTGAGCAAGACAGTCTTTGCAATCTGCTTGTTTCCTTAAAGGACCGGGCTAGGAAGCAAAGCCAGCCCGAACCATTCCCAAGTTACAGACCAAACGTGTTATCATTCTGGGCAGGCACCGAAGCAGAAGTACTGAACCGTACTGACCCGCTGCCAAACCATCTCTCCTTATGTTGGTTCCTGCCTATCTATAATGATAAACAGCACTAATCCCACATGAAAAAAAAGAAAAAAAAAAAGTCTTTGGAGACTCCCTAGTGAATTTTGCAAACTCAGGAGGTGGGAATGGGCTGCATTCTGATTAGATGCCCAGCGCAGATCAGAGCTCTGAACAGTTTTGAGCTGCACTCCTCTCCAAGCCACATTCACCTGACAAATACCTTCAGAACAGGATTTATTTCTCAAAAATTGCCTCAAAAATCTGAACTTTGGGACAAAAGGAGCAGAATGCTCACATACCGCAGAAGCAACATAAAAAGAGACACTGCTTAGAGCTGCTAATATCCCAACCGCTCCTGCACTGCTGAAAGAGCCAGACATCACATTCTCAGGGGGCTGCCAAACGTCAGTTTTCTTCAAGATGATATAAAAATTTAATCTCTACAGCAAAATTATTCCTACACTGCTTGCTGTTATAGTAAATATATTATTCTCCCGTTAAACTGGCAGCACATTTCATAAGGAGACGGGAGCTTTCTGGGACAGAAAAACCTTTGCTAAAATACAATATAAGGTGACACAGAGGCTTCATTTATAAACCACCCGGCCAGCCCGACTCCCCAGGCTGCTCACATGCTGGAAAAGCATTTTGCTGCATGTCAGCCCAGATGAAAGAAAACGTTAACCCCACCTATATAAACTTTAACCAAGGAAATTTCTTTTGTTAGGGAGAAGAAGGAATAGGGCACTATATGAGCAATTGGGGGGCACTCTGGAGAAACGGAGGTCCTAAGCCTTCACGAGAGAGGTGGAAGGCGGAAAGAACATGGAATAGGACATGAGAAGATGGAAAGGCTGATTTTGCAGTTGCAACCTTAGCAAACTGATATAACCAGTGGTTATGTGATTTATAGGGTGCACACAAAGCGGTTTAAAGGCACGTTCCCGTGCCCTCACGAAGGAATGAGAAAGGCAAAAATAAATAATGAGAAAGGAGGCAAGCCCATGAAACCAAAAATAAAGGAAGCAAAAGCAGAAAAATCAGAAGGTGTCTTTGGACAAGTGCAGCTCTTACTAAGCTCCTGCAGCCCAAATGGCTCTCCCGGGGCAGCCTGGGCCTTACTTCAGCCAGAGGTTTGAAGGCTACCATATAATTCCTGACCAAGAGAAAAAAGCAGAAAATAAAATTAGCTTAATATCTGCTATTTATTGCATTGCCTCTTCCTCAGTGCAGAAAGGCAACCGCAGATAGACTTTCCTAGGGTATTTTACGAGATACTTGAAAGAGCGAATGCAATGGGTCATGCTAGAAATTACAGACAACTACTCAAGTTCTTCACATCATCCTTTGCTGAACGCAGCAAAAGTGGCCTATTAAAAGGAGAGCTCATTAACGAGAGGGTAATTGCCAAACTAACAGACAACCATTTTCCCTGACAGCTTTGCTTAGACCTGGATTTCAGAGAGAAATCTCAGGGAGAGCAGGCGGCAGCTCCCATTAGCCGTACGGGGCAACGGCACCAGCCGCTTCAGGCGCTGCAGCCAGTGCAGGGTGAGCACGGGGAGAGCGGGACCGCCAAAGCCACATCCCATGGGAACCTCAGGACAACATCTCTGCCTACAGCTACCCCAAGCCATGTCCATTAACACTCAGCTCAGCCCCAACAAATGTTTCTTCAACGCTGCCTTAAAATCCCCTCCCACCAAAAAATCCATCTCCCTCAACCTTTACTAAATTGGGGTATCCCTATTTCCATTCAGATTTTTTTTTCATCGTTAGCGTAGATAACACTAGTTCCATTGCTTGAAGGCGATGGCGGCTGTCCAGGGAGTACAAGACAAAGCCACTTCCAACCACTTCGCCCCGCGCTCGCTGCGTCCCCGTAGCCTCAGAAGAGTCCTGCAGGACAAGCCAAAAAGCTCCAGCCAAGAGATTAGAAGGTAAGGGATCACCTTCCAGGGAAAAAAAAAAAAAAACAATACACTGGAAAATTGGAAAAGAAAAAAGAAAACAGAGCTAAAAATAGTACTGACTAGAGCTTAGTGGGGAAAAAAAATCAGCGTCCACCTGAACCCGACAGGACTTCCTGCAGCCTCCCGGTAGTCGCGTTGTTTCTTGCCCAAGGTTGACCACTCGGCAGAAGGCAGCTCAGCATCAGATGCTGCAGCCAGCTTTGGACAAATCCCCCCTGCTCAAGGATCAACACTGTCGGCTTCCTTCTGGGCTGTGCTTTTCCAGGCGGTGTCTTTTAGCACATCCGAACGTTTCCTCCAGAGTGACCACAAGGATCCGGCAGAGCTGCTTGGTGCCCTCTGCCACTCGCATCATTTGTTCAGTTATTGCAGAGATAAGCATAACACAACAAGGGGCAAGAGGTTCTTTCAAGAAAGTTTCAAGCCCCTGGCTTCAAGCTGGACAACAAATTCAGATGCCGAAAAGCGGCAGAAAAATTCTGTCGGACACATGCTTTGGAAGCAGAGATGTTAGCTGGATACAAGCTGAAAACATTACCACGCTTTACCTGCAACTCAGCATATGCGAGTTTTTTGGACAATTCTTGGAAAATTAGCCTAACAGACCCTTCAGAATTCACATAAATAACCATTAACAAGTAGGTGTGGAAGAATCTTGCAAACTGTCCAGCCGTACAGGCAGGAAAGCAGCTGCACAAACCACCCAGGGTGGGTTCAGGTTTGTCATTAATACAGGTATTTAGGTACAGGTTGGATGGGCACCTGACAAGAAAACTTGAAGAAGACCTGAGCCTACATGAGGAGGGAAGTGATGAGACAACTTCCCCAGGTCTCTTCCCACCTCATGGTCTCCAAAAAAGAAGGGAGTACAGTTAAACTGAGTAATGTTTGAAGGCTATTTTGAAAAAAGCTTATGTATATCTGCATTTACACATATATGTTTGCATATGTTTACATGTGCATATATACACACATTCATAACTGGGGTTTTCCTAGCTGTATGGAAACAAATATGGAGCAACTGCAATGTTTCTGGTCTTTCACAACCAGGGGGAGATCCAGCACATGTTGCAATCGGGAGAATTTCCAAGCCTCGTTTATGCCATCGCACTATGACAGTCTGCTTGCAAATGATAATTTCCTGATCAAGATTTGCCTCAAGCACAAAAGAACAAAAAGTCTTCAAGCAGCAGAGGCAGCTCAGTGCACAGAAGTGATACAGGCAATTCGGAAACTTGGGACTAGAGGAGCTTGGACACAGACCGACAGCCCCTGAAAGCTTGAAGATTTTAGTGTCTAGGATTTTCCTTCACAATAAGGCAGGATTTAGCAACAGATTCAGTTCCAGGTTGGAACATCCCATGCCTTGCTAAGGACCTGATCCCCAGAGCATCCCAAGCCAGTTCCTGGTCCCACCCACTCTCTCTACCCACTACAGGAAAAGGGGCTATGCCCAGTGCATCCGTCCTAGTGCTCTTGGCAATGATATATGCTGTAATTAGCACATTGGTACACCAGGAGGTACCAGATACACATTTTGCATGAAAGGATATGCCCTTTTTCAGCCAACGCATTGACATATTTGAGGCAGCAGCTAAGGAATGGAGCGACCCACGCACTGCTATCAGATGACTGTCAACCCCAGAACACGCACTGGATCCGCTAAGGGTGACGGATGAAGTGCATTCACAGAAGGGCAAAGAAAAGAACATCCTGTGGCCACCTCGCTCGCGCATCACGCCACAAAATCTAATTTGTAACAGTGGCCAAGATGTTGGGGCCCTCATACCCTGGAAATACCTTTGTTATTTACTTCAGAGTGCTGGGAAATAAAGAAAAAAAAAAAAAAGCAGCAACTTGCCATGTAGAACAAAAAGGAAACCCAGGGCCAGCAGCACCGCAGAGGTCGCTGGCTCCAGCGCCACATCCCTGCTCTAGACAGTGCAGAGCTCAGTTCATCAAACCCTGCTCCAGGCCGCCTTTCAAGGATTCAATCTTAGTGGGACACTAGCTCAAGTATTTCCATCCACAGCTCGAAACAGTCTAGGGCAATTCTTTCACGGTTATTTTAAGCTGGCATAAACCTTTATGAAGCAAAGAAGTATCATGCATGGACAGCAGTAAAAAATCAAAGGATATAGTTAAACAGACATGGGGAAAATCTATCAGAGAGGCGCCCAGTGTGGCCAGACATGAGTATCAAGACCAAGCTAAAGAGAGGAGGTGCTACAGGGGCGTTGAGGGGCTCAAAAGCACCTTCATGGTGGGGCATCTCAGTACCAGAA